GGTAATCAAAGTAGTAGCCGAATTTAACCATATCTCATCTCTGGTTGAGTTAATCCCCTGAAGTGTCGTGTGAAGATTTGGCTTCATCTCATCACAAAACGTCAGCTAGGCACCATTATTTGTTTTTCAGATTCACAAACTCTGAAGAAAAAATATGTGTTCAGTAAATTTATTAATTACAATACATCACCATTTTATGTGCATTCAGTACTATGTGTAGTGTGTTCCCCAATATTTCATAGACTTCCATACGAGTGATCCTCCCAAGTCCCAACCACCACACGTGATCTGCGGTCACACACCTGCGCATGCATGTAAGCAACAAAGAAAAAGCAAAAATAGAAGAAATATTGCTTTGGTAATGTATTCAATGGAATCGTATCTTTGCCCTACAATGGAAGCTTCGAGGTCTGAAATCTTATATGAATTATGACAATATCAAAGTTCTTTAATTTCCTCAGCCTGTTTGATATGTTGGTAGTCGCTTGTATTTAATCTATGGCTCTTTAAACGTTCGGGTAAAAGGCTTCATCAGAGTGCAGGATTGCGGGTATAAAGATGCTAGGTATTGGGTAAAATGCTTAATGAGACTTCTGTTTGTGTTTCCAAAGATGCAGCCAAATTGTTCTTAAGATTCTGAATGTTAGGTATTTACTTAAAATAGTTTCCCATTCAAACACCGATTTATAATTGGGACATGTTCCCTTTCCTCAGTTTTTCAGTCTGCAAGATTCGCAGGGTTTTCTGCGATCAGTCTATTTTTTGTTTGTATGCTTATCATATCTCTGGAGTTTGCAATTTATGCTTTATGTTTACTAGAGATTCTAAAAGCATGTAATAATTGAGCCGCATATTGCTTCTAAATTAGGTTATCTATTGATGACTTCTCCGTTGCATAGGTATATGGTTGGGGCAGAGGGCAGCATGGGAGGCTTGGATTTGGAGATGATAAGAGCAGCAAAATGGTTCCTCGAAAGGGTACAACTTCCAGCTGGGGAAGACATTGTGCAGGCTCTGAGATATGATAGTGTGTACTTGATAAATATCCATTTCCATTTTACTATTGCTACAATGTGGAATCATAAGACCAATGCTTAACTCAAGTGGTAAGAACGAAGCTTCTCAGGTCAATGTATTGGATTGAGACTCCTTTTGGTGGGGTGAGGGGTGAAATATTTTGATCCTCTTTTAGAAAATGACAATGTGGAGCCATGAATAACTACGAAGATCAATTTTGTGCCATTACATCTCTCTTTTCCTCTCTTCCTCACCTCTTTTATCATTGAACGCCTAGAGTTCGCTTTTTTGTTTTCAAGTTAATGGTATAGTGGACTTTGTCATTAGTGTTTCATTTGTTCGCTTAATCCTATCCAATGGCCTGTTTTGCATGATTGAATACTAAAATGCGAAATATATTTGACATAGTTACTTCAAACATGCAATTGTTTCCTTCTTTTGCTTCTCACTGAAGTCTTGCGATTGAAGATTCTTATCTGTCTGCAGGTGTCTTGTCGGGGCACTCACTCTGTTGCATTAACAAAGGACGGTCGGATGTATTCAGTGAGTGCTTTGACATCGCTCAATAAATAAATATGGGTTTCATTATTTTTTACACTTCGTTGTTATTTTGAAACTCTGCCGAAGAAGCTGGGAGATATCACAATACTGTCTTGCTATTGATGGGAAGACATCATCATATTTTTTGACGTTACGTGTAAATGCTATTTGTTAGAATATATAATGTAGGTATATAATGTAGGTTGCCTATCATATTACTTGTTTTACTTAGCATATCAGCTTATCATTTAATAAGGTAAGCAACATATCTCCAGCTGGAGATACTGCCGTCACAGCACATGGTGTAGTGCTCCATTATTCTTCTTGTTGAGTAGTTTGTTAGGATTAGTCTTTACTCTTTTACCCTCCTTTGTTTTCTATTTATTAGTCTTTGTATTGAGGTTGAAGGTAAGATGAATTTTTGCAATTAATTCCAAAGCGTTCAGAAGTTTCCTTCATCTTCATTGAGCTGTGATATCAGCTTTATATCGATTCATTCCATTTCAGAATCTTACATTTAAGTTTTTTGATATATTGATTCGTGCGGTGGCAGTTTGGGCATGGAGACCATGGGCGTCTTGGATATGGCCGTAAGCTTACGACTGGTCTTCCAGCAGAAGTGCCCATAAACAGTTAGAATTCACTAGCTGCTAGTGCATGGCTTTGTTCAATAGACATCAATATAGCCATGTCCTGATTTTTAGCAACTAGAATCAATTTTGTTAGCCAGCTATTTTTCAATTAGTTAGAGTTAGTTTAGCTTAATTCTAGAATCTTCTCACTACCAAATAACTTTGTATAAGATGGTATGTTTGTAATGATCAATCATGCAGTGAAATATATCTTCAGCTTCCTCAGTTTTTTAATTTGGTATCAGAGCCAACATGGCTAACACCAAATTCGAAAATCAGTCCAATCCATCAGAATTCAATACAGCTCCAGCTACTCAAGCTGCTGTTGGCCAGAACTTGGCATATGGAATGAATATCACTCAAACACCCTCAGTTAAACTCCGACAAAAATAATTTTTTGCGATGGAAGAACATGATTATGCTCATAATCAAAGGGCATAACCTTGAAGGATATCTATTGGGGACAAAGGATTATCCACTTGAGTTTCTAGCCACCCAAAGTACAGTTGGCCAGGGAGAAGTAGTGAAATGACCCAAAACCCAGAGTTTCTGAAGTGGAACTCAGCTGATCAGCTCCTTATGGGATGATTGTATTCTTCCATGATTCCAGAAATTGCCATGAAGGTGATGGGTTGCACTAGTTCGAACAAACTCTGGGTAGCAGTGGAGGAAAGTTTTGGAATACTCAACAAATCTCGTGTGATGTTCCTAACCAGTGAGCTGCAAAGAACTAAAAAAAGATCCATGACAATAGATCAGTACTTAAAGACCATCAAACAATCAGCTGACAATCTAGAAATAGCTGGTAAGGTCATTGATCAAAGTGACTTAATTACACAAGTATTATCAGGATTAGATGATATTTCCCCAGTAGTGGTTCAGATAAGTAGTAGAGAGAACATTTCCTGGTATGAATTATTATCAGTATTGATGACTTTTGAAAGTCGACTTGAACATTTGAATCAAGTGAAGAACAACTTCACATCACTTAATGTTAATCAGTCCAGTGTTCAGTTAGCACATCAAATTGGCTCAAGCTTTGGAAGAGGCTTTAGAGGTAGATCACCAAGCTATAGAGGCAGAATAAGAGGCAGAGGTAGAACTACAATTGGCAGGCAAACTAAAGCCAGAGGGCCATGCCAAATCTGCAGTCTAAGTAACCACTCAGCAAGCTGGTGCTACAACAGGTTTGATGAGAGGTACATGGGGAGCAAACCAACTAACTCTGGATAGCAAAACTTCAACTCAGGGCGGCAAAATTTCAACTCAGCACCATCAGCCTATGTGGCATCACCCAGAGTTCTTGAAGATCCAGCATGGTTTGTTGATTCAGGAGTTAGTAACTATGTGACATCAGACAAAGGTAACCTTAATATTGTAAATAAATATAAAGGTAAAGAGAGATTACTCGTTGGTAATGGAGGTATGCTAAAAATTGCTCATAATATTGGAAGTGGTAAAATTTCTACACTCAATAATAAATCACTTGATTTAAATAAGCTGTTACATGTTCCTTCAATTAAACGAAACTTGATCAGTGTTTCACAACTCACTAATGACAATAGTATATTCATGGAACTCTATGCTGTGTTGTTAATGATCTCCAAACGAAGATGACTCTGCTGTAAGGGATACCTAAGGATGGATTGTACTAGCTGCAGTTGCCAGACATCAAGCCAGAAAGAACCCCTTTCGAGTCAGACCACCAAAATAACCACCAGTATTTTACAGTCAAACCTAGTAGTAATATATTGCCCTCAGCTAAACAAATTTCAGAATATGAATTTGACCTTTGGCATAGAAGGCTAGGACACCCTTCAAACCTTGTGATGAGTAAAGTTTTTAAGTCTTGTAATAGAGTTATTAAAGCTAATGAAATCTCAAATTTTTGTATTGCTTGCAAATGTGGAAAATCTCATGGTCTCCCATTTAATACCTCACTTTCACATGCTGCTAAACCATTAGAACTTATCCACACTGATGTTTGGGGACCATCCCCTCTAAATTCAACTACAGGATTTAGGTACTATATAATATTTGTGGTTGACCATAGCCGGTATACATGGATCTACCCTATGAAACAGAACCCAGAAGCCTTAAATACATTTGTTCGATTCAAAAACCTTGTAGAAAACAAGTTGGATAGGAAGATCAAATCCCTGTAATCTAATTGGGGTGGAGAATTCAGAAATTTTAACAAACTAGCCCTAGAGTTTGGCATGGAACTTAGGCATTCTTGTCCTTATATTTCAGTTCAAAATAGAAGAGCTGAACGCAAGCATAAGAACATCATAGAGACTGGGCTAACCCTCTTGGCTCAGGCTAAAATGCCACTTTATTATTGGTGGGAGTCCTTCAAGACTACTACCTACTTGATAAACAGGTTACCTACGCCCATCTTGGAATATAAATCACCCTACCAAGCCTTATTTAATAAAGACTTCAACTACAAACAGCTTAAAAAATTTGGTTGTGCTTTCTTTCCATGTCGTAGACCTTATTAGAAGCATAAATTTGGCTTTCACTCACAAAAATGTGTTTATCTTGGCTATGGTGATATTCACAAAGGTTATAAGTATCTTAAGTTCTAGTGGTAGGATTTATATATCAAGGCATGTTGTCTTTAATGAGCAAGATTTCCCTTTCATGACATGATTCCTCGATAAGCAAATTCAGTCTCAAACCTGTGATATTGAAATAAGCTATCTTCCTTTCATTGATCCTAACTATAATACCATGTCTCAAAGTGCAATTGCAGCTTCTACAATACAACCTGAGGTCTCCTCTGCAACAGACCTTGTTGATGGAGATGCTGGAACTGAGGCTGAAGGAGTTGTGATGGTAGAGCCTCATGATGTTGAGGTAAATCAATAGGTAGTAACAGATACAGGAACATCAGAAACTCAACAAGCTAGACTTGATGCTCAAAATATGGTAAATGAAGCAAGTTTGCCAGTTAGAAATACACCTCAGAATCCTGGACATCAAATGGTTACTAGGAGCAAGGATAGAATTTTTAAGCCTAAAGTCTATACCAGTATGGCAGTAGATGAACTGACTGAAATTGAGCCAACTAATACTGATGAAGCACTAACAAGCTGTAGCTGGAAACAAGCTATGCAGGAAGAGTACAATGCTCTTATGAAGTATGAGACATCGAGTTTGGTTCCACCTAAGGCTGGAATGAAGATCATTGGCAATAAGTGGGTGTTTAAATTGAAGCATGATGCAAATGGAGGCCAAAGTTTTTCTTCAAATCCATGGAGTTGATTTTAGTGAGACATTTAGCCCATTGATCAATGCTGCAACCCTTAAAATAATTTTGACTCTTGCTGTGTCAAGAAACTGGCAAATCAGGCAAGTTGATATAAACAATGCATTTCTGAATGGTAGTCTAAATGAGGTTGTCTATATGAGCCAGCCACAAGGTTTTGTTAGTGAAAATCATCCTGGTTATGTTTACAAACTCAATAAATCCTTATATAGCTTAAGACAAGCACCTAAGGCCTGGAATGACAAACTGAAACAGACCTTACTGCAGTGGAACTTCAGACAGTCAAAGGCTAATAACTCTCTATTCTTCCTAACTACAGATGCTAATAAACTATTTGCCTTGATATATGTAGATGATATAGTGATTACAGGCAGCAATAATCAACGATTACAAGAGTTCATAGACAAGCTAAACTTTAGTTTTGCACTTAAGGATTTGGGGAATCTGAAATAATTTCTGGGAATAGAGGTTAAAAGAAATGAGGCTGGACTACATTTGAGGCAAACTAGATATGCCATTGATCTGCTAAAAAGGTTTGGTTATGAGAACTTGAAGACTAGTCTAACACCCATGGCTATGGGGAAACAGATTTCCAAAGCTGAGGAGAGAGTAATGGAAGATCCTACACTATATAGAAGTGCTATAGGTGGTCTACAATATCTAATCCACACCAGCAGACTTAACCTATGCTATAAATAGGTTACGCCAGTACCTTCAGACTCCAACGAATGCTCATTGGAATGCTCTCAAGAGGGTATTCAGATACCTACAAGGCATATTGAACTTTGGACTAACCATTCAAATAAATGACAGCTTAGATATCACAGACTTTGCAGACTATGACTGGGCTTCTTGTCCAGATGATAGGAGATCTACTGGCGGATATTATGTGTATATTAGTGACAATTTGGTGTCATGGTGCTCCAAGAAATAGCATGCGGTATCTAGGTCTAGCACAGAGGTTGAGTACAGAGTATTAGCCCAATGCACCGCAGAGATAACTTGGATCCAGTCATTGTTGAATGAATTGGGAATTCCATAGCATTCAGTTCTTGTTATTTGGTATGATAATCTAAGTGCAAGTGCCTTAGCGTGTGCCATGCACGTATAAAACACATAGAATTAGATGCACACTTTGTAAGGGATAAGGTACTTGAAAATCAGCTGAAAATACACTACATTCTCTCATCAGATCAAACGACAGACTTGCTGACTAAGCCAATGTCACCTTCAAGATTCCACCTACTCATAGACAAGCATGGAGTACTTGAACATACTCTACCTTGAGGGAGGGGAGGGGAGGGGAGGGGGGGTGGGGAAGAGTTAGAATTCACTAGCTGCTGGTGCATGGCTTGGTTCAGCAGACATCAGTACGGCCACGTCCTAATTTTTAGGAATTAGAATCAATTCTGTTAGCCAGCTATTTCTCAATTAGTTAGATTTAGTTTAGCTCAATTCTAGAATCTTCTATCTACCAAATAACTTTGTATAAAATGGTATGTTTGTAATGATCAATCATATAGTGAAATATATCTTTATCTTCCTCAGTTTTTTAATTTAAACATACCACCTCCCAAAAATCTCAGCAGCAACGCAACTGATGGAAGTTGGTGTGCTAAACTTGTTACTTGTGGTGGCCGCCATACGTTGGCAATTGTAGAATGGCGAGTTCATGAATCCGAAGCATTGCTGTGAAAATCTACTGCTCTATGAGTGAAATTCTTTGGTATT